AACTTCCTTTTTTTTTCACTTACCACTTTTTTTCACTTACTAGACTACAAACATATATTTTTTACATCCCTATAAATGTAGATTTATATCATAATTACCAGGTATCCTAAGTATTTAAACAGTTAGGTTCTTTGAAATGTTCAAATTATTTGGAGCTGTTTATCTGTGTCTTTCTCTTGCATTTTTCTTAAGCTGTCCATGTCTAAATGAGTGGGTTAAAGGTGTTGTGTATAAGAACTATAATACACACTGGGCAGCAGGGAGCTTCTCTGCACTGGGATGTCCCAGATTCGGGGAAAAGCCCACCCTTCTATTGACCTTGGACTTGGTGAAGTCTCTGTCCTCTCTAGGCTGGTCCTGCTACTAATAGTGCATGCTCAGTTGCTCAGTCTTCTTCAGCTCTTGGCAACCCCATGGACTATGGCCCACCAGGCTCCTCTGTCCATGGGATTCTCCAAGCAAGAATACTGAAGTGGGTTGCCAAGCCCTCCACCAGGAGATCTTCCCCACCCAGGGATCGAACCCAGGTCTCCTGCATCACCTGCATTTTCAGGTGGGTTCTTTGCCACTAGCACCACCTGCTGCTAAGCTGAGAGAAAAACCAGAAAAACGTGTCCTGCCTGCGCACTGGAGAAGTGTTTTCCTTCAGTCTCAAACAAGGAGGGAAATAAATACACGCCCCTAAGGAGCAGTTCAAGAGATGGAAAGGCAGTAAGAGAACTCACTGGCCACACTGGCCCAGAAGCATCACCAGAATCAGGATGGTCCCTTGGTCTCCCTGCGCCCAGCAGTGTCCTGCCCAGGGGACCCCCGGGGTCCTGGGGGCCTGCTTGTTCAGGCTGGGAGTGGGCTCTGGCTGGGGACTGATTCCTGCTCCCTCCCTCCCTTGGCTGCACTGCTAGCCGGAGCCACTCCCTCCCCTCCTGCTCTGTGTGCCGGAGGTGGGGTTCCAGGGTCCAGGGCCGGCCAAGTCGATGGTCACAAATACTGTGGTCTGTCTTCATTGTCTGGGACACCAGCTCCAAATGCAGGGACTCACTGTGAGTGGCAGGACACTCCAAGGAACCCAGGGCGGCCCACTCAGTGGAGAACCCGGCAGGAAGATCCAAGCAGTCCACACATTACCCCCAATGCAGGTCCAGTGGAGAAAAACCCACATGCTCCACTTCCAAGCAATATTTTAGTGCTTACCAGACAACCAAAAACAGTGTAAAGAAAAGGGATAAAACTTTTTTTTTTTAAAGGGAGCACTGGGGTCTCGAGGCCAACTTTTGAATAACAGGAATTCTAAAAAACAAAAGGGGAAAAACGATGAAAAAAATAATTTAAAAGTGTTTCCCAAAGATTAAAATCAGAAAGGCCTAAATGTCTCAAAAACATCACTGGAAGCTAGGGGACAATGAAGAAAGAATGAAATTTTGAGGGGAAATTTATTTCCACCCAAGAAACTATACAGCCAGATGTCCAATTAACTGGACATCTGGGAAGATAGAATGAAAATATTTTGAGACATGCTTTCTTCCTCAGGAAAATGATAGAGGATTTGCTTCATCAAAATGTAAGGATGTCTCTCTCTGAAGAGAACTAAAATAACTAAACCATTGCCTCAAAGACCCTGTACTTGGTGAGGGGAAACCTGGGGTTCTCAAGGTGAATGCAGCCAGGGAACCCCATGTAGCCTGCAACAGAGTCCAAGTTCCCCAACCTTACCTGACCTCCCCCACTTTCTCCAAACCCACCCACACCCTGGACACAGAAACACTCCCAAGTATTTCACCAAGGCTGGTAGTGAAGAGCAAAGAAAAGGGTTAATCCTTGTGCTCTTGAAAATTCTAAAGCTAATATTTTAACCCAAACTGGACTCCAAAACTAGGAGACAATGAACAATAACTTAAAAAAAAACACATTTCACATCTAGGTACAATATTCAAGTACTTTAGAATGAAGCAATCTATCTGGCAAGTACTCAGATGGCCATTGAGAATTACAAGGAACTGCAATATTATATCTAGAAACAGTATAGCAAGAAATTTGCCAGCTGTGAGGTTTCCAAGAGAACTCCTAAACTCTAAACCACCTTTCCCTTGGTTCCATGAAGTAAAACATTTCATTTCAAAAATTCACTTGAAACCTGTTTCTATATTTTTTGTTGCCCACTGCTTTTAAGCTCTACCTGAAAAATGTATTTCTCATTTTAATTAACCCAGCATATTAGACACCATGGCACTTCCCTGGTGGCTCAGATGGTAAACTGTCTGCCTATAATGAGGGAGACAAGGGTTCAATCCCTGGATCAGGAAGATCTCCTGGAGAAGGAAATGGCAGCCCATTCCAGTATTCTTCCTGGAGAATTCCATGTAGAGGAGACTGGCAGGCTACAGTTCATGGGGTCACAGAGAGTGGGACATAACTGAGCAACTACACTTTCACTTTCTGAATTACTGGTTCCTACAAATCAAATACACAAAACATTAATATATTGAATATAAATTAGTACTTCATCTTAAAGTTACACATATAAACCCATTACTTAATTATATATTTTAAATTGGAATTGCAAAACCATCTAATATGTTAAATTATCTAAAATATTATAGAAACATAAAACACCATGTATTGGGTTGGTGAAAAATTTCATTCAGATTTTTGCATAAGATATTACAGAAAAGCCAGATGATCTTTTTTGCTAACCCAATATATGGATTCCTTTCTTTTTTAAAACCACTTTGGAGATTCACTAAAGTAAAACAAACCGCTTATACTTCATTTATTTCTTTTTGACTTCAATGCATCTTCATTGCTTCCTGTGGGGTTTCTCTAGTCATGAGCAACTCACAGACTCTAGAGCTGGGATGGGAGAGTTGCGGTGCGGGGGCTTAGCTGTATGTGGAATCTTCCTGCAGCGGGGATCAAACCTGTGTCCCTGGCATTGACAGGCAGACTCTTAACCACTAGAACACCAGGGAAGTCCTAAACTGCTTATATTTAAATGTGTACAATTGGACCAATTTTGACATATAGACACATCCAGTGAAACCACCACTGGAATCAAGATAAGGCCCATTCCATCATCCCAACACTAAGAGGGTACCCTAGTGTCTCTTTCCAGTCCCTTCCCCTTTTTACCCCATCCCTAAGCAATCACACCCTGACTTCTGTCACTATAGATTAGCTTGCATATTCTAGGATTTTACATAAATAAGAGGCTATTTTTTAATACGGACTAATACTATGGTTTCAATTCTCTTAAACATTTCTATACCTGATTCTGAAACTTCAAAGAAGTAAAAGATCTCAAGACACATACACACACACACATAGGTGACATAACATGCATAGAACTGACAGTACCCTTGTAAGCCAACTAAGGAATAAAAATATCATCCTAAAGCATTTTGATACTGGAAAGAGGCTGCACACCAGAGATTTTCATGGGGATGCTTCCTGAACTGGATTCTTGTAGGTGAGACTGATGGGACCTCACATATCAATTCCTAGTTGCTGTGTGAATGACTCCATAGCCTCCAGAGAAGATGGCTCTGGAGCCCAGATCCTTGGGTTTCAGTTATATGCTCACTTAGCTGCTCTGCCTTCCCACAGAAGTTTCTAATTCTATCCCATGACCCCTTGGAATGGATTTTGCCCTTCTTTGGCTCTGACATCATATTCAGCTTAGGTCTCAAGACTTTTAGACCCTGTCAGACACCTGTGAATTTCTCATACACTTCTTTGGCCTAAGAACTCCCACGGAGCATACAGGAAGGAGCCTACCTGAATCCTGAGGACCTCCAGCCACTGGATCTGAGCATGATACCCCAACTACTGATGAGAAGGGCTTCCCTGGTGGCTCAGTGGGTAAAGAGTCTGCCTGCAGTGCGGGAGAACTGAGTTCGATCCCTGACTTGGGAAGATCCCCTAGAGAAGGAAATGGCAACCCACTCCAGTATTCTTGCCTGGAGAAGTCCATGGACAGAGGAGCCTGGTGGGCTACAGTCCATGGGGTCACAAAAAGTTGGACACGACTGAGTGACTAACGTGTGACTGATGGGAAAGCTGTGTAGCTTCATCTTCCCGAGTAGTGGTTAATAGGTAATGCTTTAAGCTGGATGAAAAAATCAAGACATGGAGGTACAATCGTGTTAGTTTCAAGGGATTTTCCTCTGGGGTCCAAACCACGTGGACAATGTGCTGTTGGGTGTGTTCAGCCATCTCTCAAAGGTTAAGGCAGAAGTTGGAAATTCAGTGGCATCTGGGGAGGGACAGGGTTCAGGAGGAAATGGGGGGTTTACTTTGGCCTCTGAATACTTTTTCACTCCTTCAGATTTTTGTTTCTCCGATGTCTTTAATTAGCTTTTTCCATTAAAAAGTTATTCCAGCCTCTCACGAATGCTAAACTGGTACCCTTAGAACTGTCTGAAATGCACCTGCGTGTGCCTATGCAGTCACTAAGTTCTATCTAATGCTTTGTGACCCCATGGATTGTAGCCCACCAGGTTCCTCTGTCCATGGGATTCTCCAGGCAAGGATACTGGAGTGGGTAGCCTTTCCCTTCTCTAGGGTATCTTCCCAACCCAGAGATGGAACCCAGGTCTCCGCATTGCAGACGGATTCTTCACCAGCTGAGCCACCAGGGAAACCTCCAAAAATGCACCTGGATCTCTGCAAATACGGATTCGCGCCTGTGAAAGCGATCGTCCCGATGTGGGCTCTTTCTAACATCTCAGGGACTGTCCCAGCCTCTCTGTGTCCACCGTTACGGCCTCCGCAGCTTTCCGGCCGTGGCCGCCTGCGGGGCGCGCGGGTAAGAGGAAGACTCAAGCCCCGCTCGGGCGTGAGCCCCAGAGCAGCTGCGCCCTCGGGGAAGCAGCAGCAGCTGCGGGTTTGCGAGGCGAGGCCTGCGAGCCAATGAGAAGGGCGCGGGGAGGGGCGGCGCTGGCCAAAAGCCCTTGAAGTGCGCGGGCGCGGGCTGCTTTTGCGGTGTACGGCGGGGTGGCCACAGCATGGCAGCTCCCAAGCGGTTTCCGACGCTCGTTCAGCTGGAGCAGCGAGGGAAGCTCTTCGAGGTGCTTGGGAACCTCACCAAGCGGCCCTACTGGTTTCACTCCGAGTACCTGAAGAGCCCGAAGGCAGTTCACCTGGAGGCCTGGCTGGTGGAGGCGATCTTCGGTGAGTGGGCCCGAGAGGGGAAGTCAAGGCCGTCGCCCGGCCCCGGGGTGGCCGCGTCCTCGGCAGGCCTCTCCGGCGGCCGGGGCTGCCCTCCAGCGCCCCTGCTGCCGCCTCCCCTCCCGCCCCCGCTGCTAACGACATATTTGCCTCCCGTGCAGGCCGGGGTGGAGAACACATCCCGCACGTCGAGTGTGTGTCACAGACCCTGCTTCACGTTCATCAGTGGGACCCGGACGGCGAGGCTGAAATCTTGATATTTGGCCGGCCTTATTACCAGCAGGATGTATCCAAGATGATCATGAATTTGGCTGACTATCACCGTCAACTCCGGGCGCGAAGTACGCGGATGGGAACCATGAAAGGCACCCTAGGCAGGCCCTGGTTCTTGGGAGAGGTCCTGATGCTTCCCGGCTGTGCCTGGGTAGCGGTCTCATCCTTTTAGTTCTCCTGCGAGAGGGTGTCCTCTTTGTAAGGGATCTAGAAGAGCGAACTGACCTCCTGTTTTCAGATTTCGGACCCCTAGCCCCGCAGCCCGAACGGATCACCCCCTTTGTGGGACGCATGGGACACAGGTGCGACTTCTTCTCTTTGCTCTTTTTCCAGGCTCTGAGAAGGCTCCTGCCCGAGAGGCCGGGACCCAGCGATCCCCCGACGCAGTCCAGGAGGCCGGGACTCAGCGATCCCCCGACGCAGTCCGGGAGGCCGGGACCCAGCGATCCCCCGACGCAGTCCGGGAGGCCGGGACCCATTGGTCCCCCGACTCAGTCCGGGAGGCCGGGACCCAGCGGTCCCCTGACGCAGTCCAGGAGGCCGGGACCCAGTGGTACCCCAGCGCAGTCCAGCAGGCGGCGACCCAGCTGTCACCCGGGAAAGCCTGGGAGACTGGGACCCAGCGATCCCCCAGCGCAATCCAGCAGGCGGCGACCCAGCTGTCAGCCGAGAAAGTCCGGGAGACTGGGACCCAGCGATCCCCCAGCGTTGCCCGCGAGGCGGCCACCCAGCGGTCCCCCGGCGCAGCCCGCGAGGCGGCCACCCAGCGGTCCCCCGGCGCAGCCCGCGAGGCGGCCACCCAGCGGTCCCCCGGCGCAGCCCGCGAGGCGGCCACCCAGCGGTCCCCCGGCGCAGCCCGCGAGGCGGCCACCCAGCGGTCCCCCGGCGCAGCCCGCGAGGCGGCCACCCAGCGGTCCCCCGGCGCAGCCCGCGAGGCGGCCACCCAGCGGTCCCCCGGCGCAGCCCGCGAGGCGGCCACCCAGCGGTCCCCCGGCGCAGTCCGGGAAGCCGGCACCCAGAGCTTCCTGGAAGTTACGCGGGATCCCAGTTTCTGAAGGCGTTCCGCGCTCAGGAGCGAGAGCCAGGCAAAGTCCAAGTGAAAGCCCCTCCTGGAACCCTGTACTCCTAGGTCCGTTCTGCTGCAGAAGCTGAGAGAAGAATGGTGTGGGTTTTTGATTTTTGATTTCCCTGGTCTCCGCCACTCCCTGTTAAAGATTTGCAAACATGAATCTAAAGAGTTCTAATAAAGAATCCAATTTCCCTAACGTCTGTTATTAATAACTGGCAGAGAGACGCGGAGGGAGAAGCACCTTCCTCCAGCAGCAGCTATTGCTCTGGACTGCTTTCGATCGAGATGCACGCGTGCGAAGTCGCTTCAGTCCGGTCTGACTCTCTGCTATCCTGTGGACTGTAGGCTCCTCATTCCATGGGATTCTCTAGACAAGAATTCTAGAGGTGGTTGCTATGCTCTTCACCACGGGATCTTCCCCACCCTGGGATCCAATCCGCGTCTCTGACGTCTCCCGATTGGCAGGCAGGTTCTTGACCGCTAGCGCCACCTGGGAGGCCCGCTACCCAACGCAGATGAGAGCTTTGTTTTCCGCCCACCCGGGGCCGCAATCTCTCCCGCCTCAGTTAGGGGCTTCCCCATGCTCCCTCACCGCGCGCGCCTGGCTTTGCAAGGTGAGGGACCTCCAGGGCCGGCGTGTCTGTCCTCATGGGAAAACTTTCCAAGCCTGCGATGTTTCTACTCAAAGTATCATGGGACGCGAAAATTTGGTTTCAACCCGGGCCTCATGGCTGGGTGCAAGTGACTTACCAGCTTTAGCAACTGCTGGCTAGGAGGGAAAACTGAAAGGGCCAGGGCAATCCAGCGGTCTTCTCAAAGTCCTGCGCGGGTGAAGTCGTGGAGACACAAGCAGTGCTGGTAACTATCCCCGACCAATTAGTAACCCCAGGAGTAGGGTGCTCTTTGTCACTTTAAGATTGAAACATACTTGACATGTAAACTCAAGGTGTGTAAATTTAAATTTACTGTGTAATTTAAGGTGTACAACACCTCTATCAGTTTGGCTTCCTGTTCCTGCCTGCCGACTGGGATGTTGGTCCCCTCACTAGAAGTAAACTGTTAACAGCTGGATGTTAGGATTAAAAAAAAAAAACAATCAAAGCACGAATCAATTTAGTCCTATGAAATTTTCATTTTAAAAATACAAGGAAACCCAATTTTAAAGAGCAGGCAGTGGTATGTCTGTCGTAGACTCTCTAGTCACTACTAATGACCACTCCAATTTAAGCTTTTGGTTTATGAGGGAATAAAGATGCAAAGCTGAATTTACAAACAGGTTATCAACTATTTTCAGAAGCGCCAAGGGAAGCCTAGGCTGAGTGAGCCCTAAACATTTAAGACTTAATACAGACTGAAAGGTCCAATTGAGGCTACATCAGAGAAGAATTAAGACTCATTCTTGATCCCCCTCCTCCCCTCCCTCCAGCTCTGAGTAGTACACACCTTTCAACAGTTTAACTTGCACTTTACCTAACTGTATACACCTTTTTTCTCTTTCTAGCAGCTTGATTTTCCTGAGGATGGTTACAGTTTCATTTAGACCTCCCCTTAGTGGTCAATTAGTTTCCCAAATTACTCAATTACAAACTACTGTATTTAATTCCTACTTGAATCCTTCAGGCCTCCTAACTGGAGATCCACGAACGTCAGTGTTCACAGCAGCACTATTTACAGTAGCCAAGATATGGAAGCAGCCTGAGTGTCCAACAACAGAAGAATGAATAAAGAAGATGTGGTACATACATACACAAAGATATATTACTTAGCCATAAGAATGAAATTGTCACTTCCAACAACATGGATGGACCTAGAGTATTATGCTTAGTGAGTTAAGTCAGAAAAAAACAAATGCTGTTATCACTTGTATATGGAATCTAAAAAATAAACTAATATATATAACAAAACAGAAATAGACTTAACAGATATAGAGAACAAACTAGTGGTTACCAATGACCACGAGGTAGGGGATGGGCAAGATAGGGGAATATAACCAAAAGATACAAGCTACTATGTATACAATTAATAGGCAACAAGGGTCCCTTCTTGTGCAGCACAGAGACATAGAGCCATTATTTTGTAATAACTTTAAGTGGAGGATAAGCTGTAAAACTACTGAACCACTATGTTGTACATCTAAAACTAACATAATATTTTAACTCAACTCTACTTAAATTCTCAAAAGTTTTTAACCCTGAAGAATTCTGGAAACAGTGACTCTTGCACATTTCTGCAAGTAAAATGATTGAGGGTTAGTAAAGAGGTCAGCCTAAACAGGTTTTGAACAGGTTGACTAGAGGCACCAAAGAAAAAGGTTCGCTGTTGACAGCCTGGAAACCGCCTGAGCTAGTCATGGAGCTCACGTGACAGCCTGGCCAGGCCTCCTGCTGCTCCACTTCGGCTGTGGGAGGTTGGCACTATTTCACTACTTCCCTTATCAGAATTCCTGAACTCCACACTTTGGATCAAAACAAGGCCTCTTAGAATATCACTATTAAGAATGGAAACAAAACATGTGCTTCCTGATGTGATGCACTGTGAAAGACACAGTATGATTTACCCAATACTTTTGCCAAAAATATATAACCTAGATCTAACCATGAGGAAGCACCAAAAAACAACAGGATTTGTGAGCAAGAAAAAGATAAATGCAGGTTGTTTGAGAACAGTGAATCCTGCTTGCACACTTTAGGGTCAGTGTAAACAGGTTGGTAGCTAATCATTTAGTGTGGAGGGTGTCTTTCAGTGGGCTCACTAGAGCTATCAAAATTTACAATGTGAGCTGTTTATGGGTTCTCTGGAAATCTTGGGAATATAGCTATGGAGCATAAGTGGCAGGTTATTTCTGTTATGTCCACCTGTATGCTTCAGTTCAATATACATCTTCACTATTTAGAGCATCAGAATTTTTCACTAGACCCTAAAGAAAAACTTTATTACAGCCTTCTCGGGTCCTTCTGAAGCACATGTAAAATCAAGACTCTTAAAAAAGGCTCTCATCTTATAGCCTCAGCAACTAAAACGGTGGTTGTGATTATAAATGGAATTGCACTGAGTTCTGAGAAGACTGACCACAAATGTGCAACCCTGGACTTTGCTAGCCAAGAACATAGTGTCTTCACTTATTCAGCTTTTTCCTTCCTCCTCCTACCCTTTTCAGTAATGTGAAGCAGGATGTAATAAATTAATATTTTTATAATCCCTAAGGCAAAACAGAGGGGGAAAATCTCTTTAAAGTATTATTAAAATGATAAATAAAAATTTATGTAACATAAAATAATGAAAGAGGAAAAGAACAAAAAAGACATGATAGGAAACAAAGCAAAATGGCAGACAAACCCAATCATATTGATAATTACATTAAACTAGAATGGCCTAAATCCCCCACTCAAAAAGCAGAGATAGTCCAACTAGATAAAGACAGATGCAAAAGACTACACAGAATATTATTCTATCAATACTTAAATGTCCAGAAAATGTGACAGTGGAGACAGACAGCAGACTGCCTGGAGCTGGAGGCAGGAGTGACGACAGACCTTGTAAAGTGATGGAAAAGTTCCCAAGCTGGCCTGTGCTGATGGTGGCACAACTCATAAGTTTGTTAAAAAAGAAAGTAAACTGTACACTCACATTTTTATAGTATGTAACCAACTAAGTGCATTTTTAAAAACTGCAGTTCAATGGCACTAATACCTAAATTCTCTAAAATAAAAATTGTTGACAAAGATGGAGAGCAACTGGAAGTCTCATACATTGCTGAAAGGAATGGAAATTGGTTCAGTCACCTTGGCAACTTGAACTTACACACACGCTATCACTTAGCAATTTCAATCCTAGATATATACTTCAATAGAAATGCACATATGTATGCACCAAGTTATGTACAATTTTCATAGTAGCCGTATTTGTTTTAAGTTCAAACAGGGAACAATCAAAGTACATATCAACAGGATGGAAAACTGAAATTAAGGTTTATTCATACGGAACTATAACCACTGGCAACATGAACACATCTTACACTGAGTCCAATTACAGTTGTCACAACAGTAGTTATCCTTGGGGAGGATGCAAACGGGGGCTTCTGGAGTGTAACTAATGCCTTTTTCCCCTCTGGCTACTGGCTTAATGGATGTGTTCTATTTGATGAATCTTTTCACACTGTGGATATGCATGGCTTTGGTATGAATGGAATGTTCTACATCAATAAAATGTTTACTAAAATTACAGAAAAATATTTGGAGTAATAGAAAACTTCTTGAAGGGACTATATGAGCAGTGAGATTTTGTAATTACTTTAATACTTTAAATATCACCTTATTTAAAAATATTGAGGATGTACATATGTCATCAGAAAAATCAGCAATGCTATTTTTGAGCATGGTACTAGTAGGTATTTCTATTCTGGCAATATGTTAGGGAAAAAATTGTCTTGTCCCTTAATAGAATAACAAATACTATGGATTCTTAACAAACTAAATGTATTCTAACTCCTCTTAAAACACACATGCACACAAACAGAATGAGACTAAATTCAATCGTGGAGAAAAATAAAAGCATATGGGAAAGTATAATAGAGACGTGAGATGCTAGAATCAACGTTTTGGTTCAAATCTCATGCATCACCACATCCTAGCTGTGTGACCTCAGCAATTTACTGAGGCTGCAAGCATCCTATGTTTAGCATAAGGCCTGGTATGTGACACAAGCTCTTATCAATACATATATAACTAGAATTACTTCCAAGTTCTGAAAATTAGAATGACAGAGCAACTACTCTTTTTAGATATTGAATATTGCATTAGTTTGCTAGGGCTACCGCCACAAAATAACAAAGTGATTTAAACAGATACGTATTTTCTCAAAGTTCTGGAGGCTACAAGCCCAAGCTCAAGGTGTCAGCAGGTTTGGTTTCTTCTGAGGCCCCTCTCCTTGGCTTACAGAGATGGGGGCCTTCTTGCTGTGGCCTCACCTGGTCTTTGCTTTGGTCATGCACATACCTGTATCTGTATTTCCTCTTATTAATAAAACGGTCATACTGGCCCACAGATAACCTCATTTAACCTTGATCACCTCTTTAAAGACCCTATTTCAAACAGAGTCAAATTCTGAGGTACTGGGGTTAGGATTTCAACATGTCAATGTGTATAAAGAATAGAGAACAGGATCATTTAGTAACTTAGTTTTAGATAATTTTTGGAAAATTGGAATAAGTTTTAAGCATAACCTTCTTCCTCTAAATGCTGAAAAGTCAAAAAACATTCACAACTTTTTATAAAAATCCCACCAGTAAAAACCTGTAAAAATATTTATCAAATTTCTACAAAAGGAGAAAAAATAGGCCTCCTAAGCTTAATTGTAAAAGAAGAGGATGAGGGGAAAATCACACAGAAAATAGTAATTGGTTTAACTACATACAATAAAAATTTCTGTATGCAAAAAACTTGAGCAGCAAATGGGTGGACAATATTGGTTATAATGGACCATTATTTGTTATAAAAGCTTACAGAGATAATAAAAACCCTTATCTTCAGAGTTGAAGGAAGTAATGCCAGAAAAGAATAAAGAAAAATGTAAAAAGTTTTTAACAAAAATGTGAAGCAAAGTAGAACAATGTTCAGTATCACTTGTAATCAAAGATTTGTGGTGTTGTTCAGTCACTAAGCCGTGTCCCTTTTTGCCACTCTTTGCCACTCTATGGCTATGGCACGCCAGGCTCCTCTGTCCTCCACTATCTCGAGTGTTTGCTCAAATTCATGTTCACTGAATCGGTGATGCTATCTAACCATCTCATTCTCTGCCGCCTTCTCCTTTTGCCTTCAGTCTTTCCCAGAATCAGGGGCTTTTCCAATGAGTTGGTCTTCACATCAAGTGGGCAAGTATTAGAGCTTCAGCATCAGTGCTTCCAATGAATATTCAGGGTTGATTTCCTTTAGAATTGACTGGTTTTATCTCCTTGTAGTCCAACTGATTCTCGAGAATCTTCTCCAGCACAATTCAAAAGCATCAATTCTTCAGTGCTCAGGCTTTTTTATGGTCCACCTCTCACATCTGTATATGACTACTGGAAAAACCACAGTTCTGACTATACAGACCTTGGTTGACAAAATGATGTCTCTGCTTTTTAGTATGCTGTCTAGGCTATCATAGCTTACCTTCCAAGGATCAAGTGGCTTTTAATCTAATGGCTACAGTCTATTATATGCTTATAAAAGGAGGTTCACTGCAGAATTTTCTGAGTGTGGATAAGAGAAGACTTTACTAAGAGTAAAGTAATGACTGCATATGTGTGTATGTTTGTGTGTGTGTGTTGGGGGAGGCTCAGTTGTGTCCAGCTCTTTGTGACCCCATAGACTGTGGGGTGCCAGGTTTCTCTGTCCATGGAATTTTCCAGGCAAGAATACTAGAGTGGATTGCCATTTCCTATTGTTCCAATATTTCCATTGCCATTGTTCCTTCCTAACCCAGGGATCAAACCGGCATCTCTGTCCCATCTGGGAAGCCGAAGATTTGTGTATGTGTGCTTAAAATCCTTGCAAAGTGCTATTATCCCTTACTTCCAAGGGGTGAAGAAACTGCCAGAGCTAAATTAATTCCAACTTTGTGTCTAAAACCATGAGCTCTTGGCAATCATTCCTCCAACTATTCTGCTTCCAGAAAGTGGAAGCAGCATGCGGTTGGGACTGTTTTGCACAGATTGGTCACATCACTGTATAGGTAATGGAAAAACAACTCAGCCCATGCAGGACACCTGCTTGGGGAGGATGTGGGGAGACAGCTGGCTGGAAGGACACCTCTCAGTGCACCAGCTGCCCTGTACCCTGGCTCCTCTGGTGAATTACAGCCCCAGCAGAAGGAATGAATGCTGATCACCTCAGCTTGCATGTTGAAATGCCCTCCCACGTTTGGGGTCAGAGACTCCACTCTAAGAAAACACATGGCACACTGGGTGCTATTCTGAAGCCAAATACCAGCTTAAAAGTGACAGCCTCATAGGAGAAGCACTGGCATTACCTAAGAGGTTGTTAGAAATGCAAATTCACAGGCCTGATGTACTGACTCAGAATCAGTGCAGAAGGAGCTGAGGAAGCGGTGTTGCAGAAAGTTCTCCAGATGATTCTTACACTAAAGTTTGAGAACAAATGATGCAAAAGAAATTCAAAGCTGACTGACCCTGCATTTCTGGCCTCTGCATGTAAGGGCCCGAGTCTGACCATAAAAATCATAAAAGGGTTAAGAGCTTCAAAATGGTAACAACCAAGGAAAAAAAAAAAAGAAAGAAACCCATCACCTAACAGCCTTCTACCCACCTCTCACATCAAGACAAGAATGAACAGTCTTTTATAAATTTGCTTAATTTTGAGTGAGCAAAGATCTTTATGCCTTCGGACAAAAATGAAATTCATTTATTAACTAGAATGGCACTACAAACTCAGGTTTGCAGCAAAATAATCAAACCACTATACTTCATCAAGACACAGGGGGGAAAGGGCAGAGATTTAAGGATATTGGCTTCTCTTGAACATTAGCAGCAGAAGCAGGACTGTGCTCACGCTCCTGACAACACTCATGCAACAGGATGCTGGGGCACCTGTGGACCTGGTGCCTGGGCCTTCAGGAATTCCTCAAGTTGTTCCATCTTCTCAGCTGGATAACGAAAAATGCTGGGTTTCAAACTCCTCCTCCAAGGGGGAAGGGGTGTGCTGGCAGTATCATTTCTCTGGGTGGAAGGTCTGAACCTAGGATCTGGAATCAGCGGGCTGAGGGAGCTGAGGCCAGCACCGGCAGTAGGTGTCTGAATGCATGTCTCAGCTTTACTTTCTCAGGGTCCTGATTGGACTCCTCTCTCAAGGGAGGCCCAGGGATCACCACCAAAATGGAGCTGGGACACTGCAAGGGGTTTTGGGAAGACGAGAGGCTGGAAGGAAGTCATGTAAGGCTAGGCGGTTTCCCCTGCCTTCCGCCCAGGTGTGTTTGCCAAGCCCCTCACCTCGGGCGCGCTGCTCCCGGAGCACTGATGCCTGGCTCAGAAGCATGCTCTTCACCTGACGCTGGACTGCCGGCCGCGCGAAAACCGTGACTTCGACCACGTTCCCAGCGTCAACAGCGTCCACCATCAGCAGGGCCTGGCTCATCCACTCCATTTCTGGAACCAAGGATCGGTCTGGGCCTAAAAACGAAAGGAAAGCCGGAGAAGAGTGTGGGTGAGGGGCGGGAGACGCTGGCCACGAAGGGACGTGACGGCTTGGGACCCGGCGCCGCTCGGGGCCCTCGACGGCTCTGAGAGGCCCGCTAGGCCCAGGGTCGCACACCAAAGATCGAGTCGGCCAGCCACGCCTCCAGGAAGAACACCAACGGATTCCTCAAGTCCTGCGCAGGAAACCACCATGGCCGGATGAGAACCCGCGGTGAGGGACGCGGGAACCCCAGCAGCCTGTCCCCAAGGGCCTCTGAGTAGCCAGCATCGTCGACCATGCTCCAACCACGGGCGAGAAGAGCAGCTCTCGCGGGACTCGGGACTCGCGCGAAGCCTGGCCCCTTTACTGCTCCCGGCAGGCCCCGCCCCCTCCGGTGCGCATGCGCCCAGCCACATCGCGGCCCAGGGGTGCAAACGCACGCGGGTATCCCGGCGCCTGGAGCTGCCGCATATGTGCAGCGCGGTCCCCTAGCATCTTCTCAGCGTGAAGCCCTGGAGACTCTAGGAGGGGCCGCCAGGCGAGTAATGGCCGACCCCGAGGCGTCCGTAGTTCCAGATCTTGTGGCTGCATGAAGTGGGGTCCCGGCCAGGCCCGGTCGGGTCAGGCCGCGCGGGCGGGCTCCTAGAATCCGCATCTTCTCTCTCATAATCCGACTCTGGTTTGTTGCCGCTTTAAAATCATTCCTACAAGTGCGTCGTGTCTAAAATGCAGTCATCAGACATGGTCGTTCCAAAAGATGTATCAGGTGGAGACAAAAGTCGTTTACTTCCAAAATCCTCAAACAGCGAGTACTGATGAACATTTCTTCTCAGTGTTCTTAATTTTAGTTAAAATTTTCAATTGTGAAGATTTCTCACAGTTGAAAAAGTTGTTTAACGCTCATGCACCCCCTCCCCTCGCCCTATTTAGCAAGATGTTAATTTTTCCCGCATTTGCCTTCTCTCTTGTTTAAAACAGATGCCACGAAAGATCTTTCCTCTCTCCCCACAGGAAATTATTGTCCTGAAGGTTGTGTGAGCAGCCCGCGCGTGCTCCTGTTCTTTCCATAGTGCATTTCTACAAGTATTGTTTGGTAATGGTTGTATAGACAGCATCTGCTGTACAAACGACTGTACACTTACAATTAGTTCGGATGTGTTTGTTTTTTACATCTTTTTAATGGAAGATGTTGATCATCTATGTAAGGGGGATGGTATTAATGTACTGAATTCCCTCATCCGCATCATCTAGTCCTTAACAGTAATCCAAGAAGAGATATTGAATCTAGCTTTATTGGATACTTTTATTTCAGTTTAATTTTCTAAATGAACATAATACATGCATATTGTAAAAAAAAAAAAAGCCTTGAGGATATAAAGTTATATGGGTAAGTTCTCCCTTTCATATATTCTCCCTCAGTCTTAACTACTTTTCAATCATGTATGCTGTGAATGTCTTCTAGTTTAAATTGTTTTTTCACCTTTTTAAAGGTGTTTTTTAGGAATACAGTTCTTAATTTTAATATAGTCAGGTTTATCAGTCTTTAAGGTAAGTTCATTCTGTCTTTCTTAAGTCCTGCTCTGCCATGAGGTCTAAAGACATTCTCTGTACTTTCCACTAAGAATGCTCAAGTTTCTGCTGTAACTTTTAAATTCCTGAACCACCTGGGGTTAATTTTTTAAGATGGGTATAATATAGAGATATAATTTCATCTTTTTATAAATTATTAATATTTTTCTTTGAGCCATTCTCTTCAGAATGCATCCAACTTGAGGCCTCTTCAAATTCTATCCCTGGAAAAATTTCAGACTCCTATATGTAGCATGAGTTAGCCACAAGGCTGGTTTGTGGTAGTTAATTATTAGGTCACGACATACTTGAGAAAGGCAAGTTCATAAAAAATTCCTTTGGCACTCCCATTTGGATGACAAAGTTTATTTCTGATTTAGTTTTATTTTGGAAGTATAGTCATTTGCAGTCTTACAGAGTGCACATTGTTTCCTACATTTGGCAAGCTTTGAGTTTTAGTAACTGATCTGTGTCAGCTTCAAAACAGAATTGCAAGGTTTTTAGGATTTAGCTGAATCTGCCTAGGTGAATCAGTTCCATCATTTTATACCTCTAAAGCTTGCTGATTTGACTCTGATTGGTGGGAGAGAGAGTATGACTTGAATACTGGCTCCAATATTTTCTAGTGGTGTGTCTGAATACAAGTTATTTGAACTTTCTGCACTTGCTTTCATTTTCTCTTGCTTAGTCCTGGAATGACCAGTCTGAGAGTATTTGGGTTCAGTCAATAAAGTATGTGAGTGAAAGTATTAGATGCTCAGTTGTGTCCAGCTCTTTGCAACCCCATGGATTATAACCCGTCCATGGAATTCTCCAGGCAGGAATAATGGAGTGGGTTGCCATTTTCTCCTCCAGGGGATCTTCCCAACCCAGGGATTGAACCCAGGTCTCCCGCATTCTTTACCATCTGAGCCAACAGGAAATCTTGAAGACAGGCTTCCCTGATGGGGAATCAAAGCCTGGCTGGGGTGGTGAGAGCACCAAATCCTAGCCACTGGACCATCAGGGAGTGTCTGGTTTTGTAATTTCTTATTGAGAATATCTGTTCTTCACTTCATGTAATCTTCAGTTCTCAAGATGTAATCTCTATACAATAAAAAATGTAACAAAGCACAGTTTTTTTTGTACCAAATAATAATATCAAAATGTATCTCACAGATAGAAAAAAGTGGTCAAAATGAGGAGAGTAAACTAGTAAGGTGATATTAAATCACTCAGACTAAAAACAATCATGTAGAAAAAGAATGCAATAAAGGCTGTGTTCTGAACAGTTGAGGACAGTCTTCTAAACCTTAGGAGCATCTGCAAACAGTAGCTACATACTGGTTCCCCTGGATGGATGGATGGATGGATGGATGGATGGGTAAATGAATAAATAATACTAATATTCAAGCAAAGTAAGAAATGAAAATCATTACTGACAAACTATTTAGAATATAACAATAACTTACAAAGTACATTTTAAAAATATGGTTACTGTACACTCTGAAAAATCTAGTCTGCAATCCCTTCTTATCTATCCTGTCCCCTCCTTCCCTATATAGTTAACTATTAGTAGTTTTGGGGAGACCTGGGTTTGATCCCTGGGTTGGGAAGTTCCCTTGGAGAAGGGAACAGCTACCCACTCCAGTATTCTGGCCTGGAGAATTCCATTGACTGTATATTCTGTGGGGTTGCAAAGAGTTGGACAAGAGTGAGCAACTTTCACTTTAACTTTTCCATTAAGAAAACATGTGGATAAGAATGTGAGAATTCTTGCTTTTACTTTTTTGGTAATATTAGATTGCTGCAAAAATAATTGTGATTTTGCATTGTTGAACTTTGCCGTTTGATATTGGAACACATTCTTAAATAAATATTATGTTATCTATCATTTTAATGCACATTTCTCACTTTATCTTTTTTTGCTAATGACTTATTACTTGCGGCTTATTTTATATTTATTTTACACTATTGAAATGATGTTAGACAAAAAAGCAAATTCGAGCTATGTGTTTTTATTTGAATTCAAATGGGCTGTAAAACACTGGAGACAACTCACAACATCAGCAACACATTTGGCACAGGAACTACTAACAAACATACAGTGCAGTGGTGATTCAAGAAATTTTGCAAAGGAGAGGAGAGACTTGAAGATAAGGAGCACAGTGGCTGGCCATCAGAAGTTGACAATGACCAATTGAGAGCAATGATCAAAGCTGATCCCCTTACAACTACACGAGGAGTTGCAGAAGAACTGAACGTTAGCCATTCTACCCTCATTTGGTATTTGAAGCAAATTGGAAAGGTGAAAAAGCTCCATAAGTGGGTGCCTCATGAGCTGACAAAAAATTGTCATTTTGAAGTGTCATCTTCTCTTATTCTACACAACAACAATGAACCATTTCTTGATTGGATTATGACATATGATGAAAAGTGGATTTTATATGACAACCAGTGGTGTCCACCTCAGTGGTCAAATTGAGCAAAAGCTCCAAAACACTTCCCAGAGCCAAACTTTCACCAAAAAAAAAAAAAAAAAAATCATGGTTACTGTTCGGTGGTCTGCTGCCAGTCTGATTCACTATAGCTTTCTGAATCCCAGTAAAACCATTATATCTGAGAAGTATGCTCAGCAGATCGATGAGATGCACCAGAAACTGCAATGCCTACAGCCAGCATTAGTCAACAGAATGGTCCCAATTCTTCTCCATGACAATGCCTGACCACACATCACACAACCAACACTTTAAAAGTTGAATGAATTGGGCTACGAAGTTTTGCCTCATCCACCATGTTCACCTGACCTCTCACCAACCCACTATCCCTTCTTCAAGCATCTTGACAATTTTTTGCAGAGAAAACACTTCCACAACCAGCAGGAGGCAGAAAATCCTTTCCGAGAGCTCTTCAAATCCTGAAGCTCAGATTTTTATGCTACAGGAATAAACAAACATTTCTCATTGGCAAAAATGTGTTGATTGTAATGCTTCCTATTTTGATTAATAAAGATGTTTGCACATTAATAAAGATGTTTGCATTTTATGGTTTAAAATGTATGGTCTAAAACCACAATTACTTTTGTATCAACCCAATACATGTATTTTATTGTGCTCTTTTTCCACCAACTTTTTTGTTTTGATAAACTTTAAACCAATGGAAAAATTCTAAGAACATTAAATTTACATTCTATACCTTTCATTGAGTTTCACCAGTTGTTAATGTTTTGTTTAGTTTCTTTTCTCTCTCTACCTGCACATACTTTTTCATGAACTGTCTGTAAGTGGCAGGCATCATGACTTTATCTCAAGTACTTCATTGTTACCTCTTAAAAGCAAGGACATTCTTCTGTGTAACCATGTAAAATTGTTCACTCAGAAAATTTAACTTTAGTCTAAACTCTTGTCTAATATATGATCCAAGTTCAATTTCCCCAGTTTTTTCCCAATAATGTCCTTTTAGCTAATATAGAATCAGTCTCTGCTGTTGTTATTGTTTAATGACCCTGACATTTTTGAAATATTTTAAATTTTTTATTATGGGAAATTTCAAACATATACAAAGGTAGAAAGGATCGCATAAATGAATGATCAATAATACTAGTCCCACAACTTAAAAAAATATCAACTCATGGATTATCTTGTGGAGAAATAAAGATCACCCAAATGGGAACAAGTGAAGGCTTTTTATTAAGAGGTTGCTATAGCAAGGGAGTTAACTGCCATCATTTGTGTTTGGCAGAGTCTCAAAAGTGGGCAGAGGTGAGGGAAAAGCTTATATAAAATGGAAAAAAGGTGTGCCTGAAGGAAGAGTTGTTGGCCTGGGGAAACTGTAGGCAGGCTAACTGGAAGCAGAGCATTGTATGTGATTGAGTAGGGGTGCATATTTGACTTTCCCAGCTGGGTCTCAGTTGATCCCAAGAGAAAATGAGCGAAGCTGTCAGTTATTAATCAAGTCCTGGCCTCTTGTGTTGTCATAGACATTGTTTGGCTTTCTGGACTGAGTGCTGCAGACTGTGAATCAGAATTGTGTTTTTATGTTTG